GATCTTCCGGCCCGCGCTGCCCGCGCCGTTGTACTTGCGCGCGATGATGAGGAGCCACCACATGGGCAGCAGGAGCGCCGCGAGGAAGCCGAGCGTGCCTAGAATCTTGGCCCGCACGGATACGGGCTTCTGCATCTTCAGCGTCGGCCCGCGGCCGGACGCGGCGAAGCAGCCCTCGGACTTGAGCTCGTGGTAGAAGAGGACGCGCTCCTTGGCGTCCATGTGCTCGAGGCGGAGCAGGTTGTAGAGGAGCGTGCACTTCCGGCCGTCGTCGCTGCGCATGTCCGCGAGGTGGCGGTCCCACGTCGCCGCGATCATCAGATTCTGCACGATCGTCGCGTAGGTCTTCTCCGCGAAGTGGCTCCGCCAGGAGCGCCCGCCGCGCCGCCGGTGCTTCGCCGCATAGGCCGCCCAGGCCGGGTTGTCGAGGTCGAGGGCCGCGGGCGCGTTCAGGCCCCAGGTCCGCTCGAGCGCCGCGATCAAGAACGCGACGCCGTCGCGGTCCTCCGGCGACGCCGCGCGGCCGTAGGCGCGCACGAGCTCCGCCCGCCGGGCGAGCACGCCGCACATGGTTGGCGCCACGGCCCGCAGCGCGTAGTAGCGCGGCGTCGGGATCGGGTGGACGTCCGCCGGCGGGCCCGCGAGCCCCAGGTTCCGCCACAGCCGGAGCCCGACGACGTGCGCCGTCGCGAGCTCCGCCGGGGCCTTGCGCTCGTGGAGCAGGCCCGCGAGGCCGGACACGTCCGGCGCCGACGGCCGCGGCTCGTCGGGCGCCTTCGTCTCCCTCGGCTCGTCGGGCGCCTTCGTCTCCTTCGTCTCCTCCTCCGCGGCCGGCGGCGCGCCGGCGAAGGGGTCGCCGCGCGCGCTCTTCTTCTGCTCCTTGATGTCCAGCGACGTCCGCAGGACCGCGTGCTTGAACTTGCTCAGGCGCCGCACGCGGCCGGCCTCGCGCCGCGCGAGGTCCTCGGGCGACACGAGGGTCATGAAGCGGTCGAGGAATCTGGAGAGCCGCGGCCGCGCCTTCCTCGTGGCGTCGGGCCAGTGGAGGGGCGCGCAGACGTACTTCATGAAGAACTTGTCGAAGAGGACCATGCAGGGCAGGCTGATGAGCATGACGAGGAACACGAGCGTCGCGCGCTTCGCGATGATGTCCTGCGGGTCCGGCAGGATGGGCTGGCAGTGCGCGGCGCCGACGTCCGGGAAGGGCTCCCAGAAGCAGGCGCGGGCCTGGACCTCGTCCCGGTCCGTCAGCCACGCCACCGTCTCGTCGTAGATGTTGGCCTTGTCGCCGCAGTCGTCCTCGTGCTCGCTCTTCTCGCAGTAGCCGATGGGGTACGCGAACACAAAGGCGAGGAACTGGCTGAGCATGATCATGAGCAGGCTGAACAGGAGCATGACGGCGCGCTGGTAGCGCGGGCTCGCGGGCTTGTACTTGGTGAAGATGGTCACCCAGCTGTGGTTGTTCCAGACGAGATGCACCGCGTAGGCGAAGGGTCTGTCCGTCGCCTTGACGAACTTGGGCAGCGACGCCGCGGCGACGTCGTGGAGCGAGTCGAAGGAGTAGGTCTTCGCGGGCGCGTCGCGCGCCTTCGCCGCGGCCCGCTTCGCGCGCGCGGCGTCGCGCGGGTCGAGGACGAAGCTGCCGAGGAGCGCCGCGAAGACGCAGGCGCCGACCATGGCCGCCAACGTCCCGACGATGAGCGGGTTGTCCTCGACGAGCTCCGACGCGTAGGGGTCCTTGAAGGCCGACGCGTAGTAGCCGACCATCGTGTGGGAGGTAGCGCCGTAGGCCGCCGGCGGCCCGCCGACGGTACCGTTGCACGCGCAGGTCGCGTTGGCCGGCGACCAGGCGAGCAGGACGCAGGCCGCGTCCTCGTCGACGTCGTCGGCGCCGGACGCGCACCGGGGCACCTCGGACGCGACGCANGCGATGTCGTAGGCGCCCGGGCGGCCGTCGCAGGCCGCGGCGACGGCGTCGTCGCCCGGGCAGGAGAAGGTCGAGTTCTCGTCGCCGCGCGCGCAGGTCAGCGTGTAGGTGTCGTTCGACGTCCGCGGCGCCTCCAGCAGGGGCACGACGTAGGCGACCGTCGCGTTGGCGGCGGGCGCGGGCGCGTCGGACGTCGCGGAGAAACGGACGAACGCCGCGAAGTCGCCGTCGACGGCGAACTCCGCGAGCACCGTGGCCACGGTCGTCGCGCCGGCCGTGTCGGCGCCCGACACCGTCAGCACGGAGTCGCCCGCGGCGCTCGCGCCGACGGCGAGGGGGTCCCACTTCCGCGCGCTCAGCGCGAGGCCGTCGCCCGTCGCCTCGCGCGCGAACTCGCCGGCGACGGCGTCGACGGCGACGGCGACGCCGAGGTCGTCGACGGCCGCGGAGATTCGCGACGCATTCGACGCGTTCGACGCCGCGGCGCGGCCGAGCGTCGACGCGAGCGCGTCGCCGGCCTGGGATGTGGCGCCGAGCGACCGACCCGACGCGCACAGGTCGCCCGCGAGCCTCAGCGATTCCTGTTCGCCGTCCGCGTCGAGGCCATCGCCGGAGAGCGCCGCGAGCGTGCTCGCCTGCGCCTCGAGCGCCGCCGCCGACGGCGCCTGGATGCCGCGGACGTCGTCCAAACTCGTCAAAAGCCGCCCGCGGAGCGCCGCGAGCTCCGACGCGTCCGCGCTCAGGCGCCGGCGGAACGTCGGGTCCGTCGCCGCGGCCGCCGACGCGACGAGGGACGCGTGGACGCGGTCGACGTCGCCGGCGGCGAAGGCGTCGTCGAGCTCCGCGTCGCTCGCGGCCGAGAGGTCCGCGGCGGAGCCGTACGTGGCGGCGGTCACGTCCGCGGACACCGCCGACGACCGCGCGGTGGCCCCGAACGCGTCGGCGACGTCGGCGACGAGGCGCGCGACCCCGGCGGGCAGCCGCGCGTCGTCGACGGCGGACGCGTAGCTCGAGGCCATCAAAGCGTAGTCGACGCCGCCGGCGACGCGCGAGAAGCCGTAGGTCAGGGGCAGGTCCTCGTCGACCCAGTTGGCCGCGGCGACGCGGAAGCTCGTCGACAGCGACACGCCCGAGGCTGGTGTTACAGAAACATCACCGCTCGTGGGCTTGCCGTTGGCGACGACGTTGACGGTCGTCGACGTCGCCGCGCCGGACGCCGCGACAGACGCGAGCGCGAACGCGTAGGTCGCGCCGGGCGTGAGGCTGTCGGCGGCGAGGACGAGCGGCGCGCGCCGCGTCTCGCCGCCGGGCACGGCTACGACGAGCGCCGACGACGCCGACGCCTCGAAGCCGCCTTCGAGAATCCCCGCCGCGAGCGTCCACGCGACCGTCGCGTCGCCGTCGTCGGCGCCGCCGGCGACGGCGTCGAGGACGAGCGTCTTCGACGGGTCGACCTTGGACGTTGTCGTCGTGAGTTGCAGCCGGAGCTCGGGCACGCGGTCGGCGAAGACCGTCGCGGTCGCGGCCGCGGCGGCGGTCCGCCCGTCCGCGGCCGTCGCCGTTACGGTGAACGCGTACGTCCCCGGGCTCGCGCCCGCCGCGATGTCCAGTGTCGACGCGTCCGCCGTCCAGGCCAGACCGCCGCAGGCCGCGCAGGCCCAGACGAAACTCAGCGCGCCGCCGGCCTCGTCGTAGGACGCGGCCGCGTCGAACGCCGCCGACTGCTCCGGCGACAGCGCGGCCTCGTAGCGATCCAAG